TTCGAACATGTTTGAGAAAACACTGAAAAAAAGTGATAAATCGAGAATTGCTGCCCCACTCATGTGGAGAAAGCTATTGACCTTCTCCCGCGTCATTCATGGTCAACATTTGATTCTTTTTTTCTATCTGTTCTTTGACGCTCCTTTTCCCTGGCATGTAGGGTGTTTCAAACATCTTTGAGCCTATCTTTAACAAAAACCGGCGAATCGAGAATTGCTGCCCCATTCATGTGGAGAAGGCCATTGACCCGCTCTCGAAAGAAGGATTAAATCCTGAGAATGATTGATGCGAGAGTACCCTCGCAAAATCAAGCCATCACAGGTAACATGTTTAGGACCGCAAAAATGATCTCATCAGGTGATCGCGAGGTGGCAGAATCGGTGCAGCTCGTTCACGGTGTGGCCATCACTAATAGGTATCCTTTGAAGGAACATTGCCTTCGCAGATCCCCCGTAAAAGACCACAAGGGTAGACAAGCGAAATTTCGGAGGAGGTGGCTTTCGCCTTCCCTTCGTACAGACTCCGTCAGTTCTGACGTGAGAACGGCTCTGCGCATGTATGGTCTCAATGGTGCGGGTGGTCAAGGTTCCTTCCACTAATCTCAGGAGTAAGCTGGTTCAAAACCGTTTGTATGACCTTCTCTGCATAACCCCCTAGTGAGTCATCTGTCTCAGCGGGCGAGATGGGGACTGCATGGCGTCAGGGGTGATCTATTTGATCACTTGCGAGGCCTGCGGGGACGAATACATAGGTGAGACCGGGCGATTTCTAATATGTACATCCAAGGAACACCTAGCTGGTCTGAAGGATTCGAGGCCTGAAACTCTCGGAGGCCATCGTAGGCAATACCACAGAGGCGTAGAGTTTGAAGTCTCAGTCAAGATTTTGATGAGGGAGCCCACGACCTCCGCGCGCAAAACTTTGGAAGCGTTCTGGATCTGCGCAAAAGACCCCAAAATTAACCGAGAAGACGGAAGCCTGTCCATAACAAATAAACTCGTCCCGTTTTTCGACCTGTGTGGGCTACAATTGCTCTGGCTTCAAGTCGGGGGCCGGATCACCCGGAGCCCACTCATTGCGAAAACATTTAAATAGGCAGTTTGAAAGGTGGTCCACGTCTCATCTCCTAGTAAGGTGGGTTCCCTGTTGGGGTTTACGAGACCTTTTTTGATATCTGTAGGTTATACTTGAGCTAACTGAAGTCTGAAATGGTGTTTGATATGGATGAATCTCAAATACTTTCTGGCTTCCAGGTCCTGACGAAGCCGACAACGCCGAAACGTTGGCCAAATGAAAGTTTTATCATCTTGACCGAGGCTACACTGCAAAAACACCTTCATACTGAGTCTCAAACGATGCCAAGATTCATCAAAAGTCGATCATGGTCACTTTGGTTACTGAAAGAACGGAAGAGCTTATCGATTTTTTCGCTCCTTACTTTGTTCTTATTCCCTTTATTTCTTATTTGCCTTTGGCGATCTCAAGCAGTAGTGCCTAATTAATAAGCTAGAATTGCCCTCCTTAACTCTTTCGGTGTTCGAATCATTCAAGCTTTTTAGGTATATAATAATCTTAGAACGGTCAATTGTGATGATCCAAGCAATCATCATAACATGCAAGAAGACCTTAACAACGTGTTTAGGGCCTGTACAAAGCCAATGAAATCAAAATCAGTTGATCATTGTGGGCATTCGAGGAACGTAGTATACCACATACAGTGGCGGTCGAAAGTCTTTGGTGAACAGCTTTTCCAACTTCAACCGATTTCTTACTTTATAAAATCGCATCAAATTCCAGTATAGCAACGAAAGACATACTGTGAACACTCGCGCTATTAGACTGCACTTTCCTGCTGTTCACTGCACGATAGTGAGGTTATTGACGCACGTTCGTTAGAACATTAATTTATTTAAATTATTTATATTGTATCGATGTTAACAACATTTATCGAGAAAGCCTCGGCTTTTGATGACGGCATCGTAACAGTAAGGCATCGAGTCGATTAGCGACAGCATCGCAACGGGAGTTTCTTATGGTAGACACAGGCATGGCGTTCCAATCCTTCGGTAATGGATAATTTCTTGCACTGTTCCAAGGAAATTGGTTCGAACAATGCCTTTTGAGTTCTTTCCACACGTGCCCTATAGGATTCGATCCAGTTAGTTGCTTGGTCACTCCAGAAGTCAGGTTCGCTGTGTTCGCTGAAGGCCGCCTTCACAATCACTGGGGAGTGTCTCGGATCGTTATCATGCTGCAAGATTCATCCTTCTGGCATGTGCTGCTGTGCCCATGGCAAGACGATGTAGACCATAATGTTTTTGTATTACTCCCTTGTTATCGTGTTGTCGGTTTCAAAATAGGGCCCAATCCGTTCAAGCATTGTTTGAGCATGTCACTTCCACCAGTCCGCCGACTTACAATGATGCCATCGCTAGCGTTGAACACAGCCGCAATGTCAGCCGCAGTGAGGTGAGGGTAAGCCTTCACCCGAAGTATGATCCGTCTGTCCTGGGTTGATTAAGCATTAGGTTGATGCATAATTATTGCGGATTTTTTCGCGGCTTTTTTTCTCTCGAGAGAATTTGAATATTGAGTTCGGGTTTTTTCTAGAAATGATATACTTGATTCCCTCTACAAAATGTACCTAGAAAACCATCCGCATATTCGCGAAATTAGACCCTACTACTTCGAGAAAGATTGGAAGGTGTCAGAGTAATTCCGCGATCCCAGTAACCTTTCGGCGATGGAACAATCAGCCAAAACCAGCCAAGAAGTGGGATCTGCTCCTAAATCTGCCATATTCACTAGCGAAAACTTCTATAGATTATCTCATCAACCGTTCGCTGAAAAAATGACTAGGGAGTAGAACTTACGACATTTGGAAGACTTGATGGCCGATGTCAAGGCAAGAATCGCCGTCGAGGGTCAAAACTTCTTCGCTTTCGGGATCCGACTATCTAGCCAACGGGAAGCAGTGCTTGACGTAGATGTTGGATAAGTTCCGGAGTAATTATTAGAACATGTTTTTGTTCAGTATTTTTATCGTTTCGTCAAATAAAATTTGTTTAAAAAAATCCGCAATAATTATACATCAACGTAATAGATCAGGGTCTCACCGTTTTCTCGACATTGCAACCATTTTTCTGAGCTGATAGCCTTTGACGTTCGGGGAAATCGTTTGCAGTGGGACTTTCGGAATTCCAAAAATGGCCATGATTTTTCTGCTCGATTCCTTTACGTCTGCTGCTGCCTGCCGAACTCCCTGACTGACTTCTGTCCTTTCACTAGACTTTTGGGCCGCTACTGTATCAAAGCTGCGTACACCCTCTTGTGTGCGGGAGCGTTGTGTGCTCGAATACACCGAACTCTTGGAGTTGTTGACCTTCTTTGTACATCATTACCAGAGTTGCACTAGATTCATTGGAATTACCCATCTTTGAAGAGGTGACCATGTCGTTCATCCACACCAGCTGATTTGTTATTTATGAACCAGTTGGGCTATGCACACAAATGCGTTCATTGTATGACTACGACCGCTCATCTACGATGGAGTCATTCTGCGGAATGCTAACTGTATCAGAATGAAACAGTACTATCTAGATCTGAACGCTGGGGCTGCACTGAGACCATCCACTCGATACCCTTCGTTCGCGCCGAATTATAAGTGGCCGATCAGTCCTGTCCACCTCAGACCCCTCCTACTATAAAAAGATGAAAACCCTTTTTTTTAGCTGTTCAATTGAATGCACGCCCCGCCCACCATAGACCTAGGTTCGCCAAGGTTACGTTTCTGTCGAAATGAGCTATAAAATTATGTGGAAAGCACTGCCTATTTTCAGGAAGCTCCGCCTACAGCAGGTGAGCATATTCATCTGGATTGTTGACTCAACCCTCAGCTCTGATTCGAAGCCAAAATAAGGTGTTTAGCCTTGATACTGCCCATTTCGGCACTTGCTCAGGCTCCTGCGGGCAGAGCTCCTTTGACCTATCCATATATGACAAATCCAGACAAGTAGACACTCCAAACCTGTGGATTATGCATGGTATGGACTGTGGATTACACATATATAGTATGGAAGTGGATCCCTCCTCAAGTAAAAGAGTTCTCATTTACGGACAGCTCCACCACTAATAAGATTTGCTAAAGTGTATCATATATGTGTATCTATATATGAGTACTCTGGTGTTCGTGTGCAATTGGATAGTTGCATCGATTCCGATTCACTCACAACTAGGAAGTATGGCGGCATATGAATGTAAAAACTGAGCCTCTATTAGAAGCCATGAGTGAATGTACACCGAAGTCCCAGTCTATTTACTGCTTTGGTCATCAGATCTCTTAATAAACCGGGCAGATCAGTACAACACAAGATCAGCGATATCTGGCTCAGATTCTGGCGCATGGCTAGGCTTCAGCAAGCCCAGCATGCTGCGGAGGCGTCGACCGATGAAATTTCCCGCGGGAGATCGTCCATCGGGTGATGCGGTGCACGGCGTATTCGAATTGATGAAGAGAAATGTGTGTGAGGCATCCACGGCCGGTCCTTTGCTCTTAATCTTCCCGATTGAGCCTTTGTAGATGCCGAAAAAGGTTTCGGTTTGGCCTGTCCAATCGACTGGGTATGAAACGGCGGTGACCGGATTGACTTCATTACTTCGGCAGAAGTCCTGCATCTCATAGGAGGTGAACTGGGTTCCGATATCTGAGAATCACCACCAGGTAAGCGATTAGCACAACTGGGCCGGCGAAATCAATATGGATTCGGCTCCATCGCGCATCAGGGCGAGACCACAAAAATAGTGTGTTCTCGACGGGTGACTTGGCGGGTCCCTGGCAGGCGGCGCAGGTACAAAGAAGCTTCTTCAAGTCGTTGTTTATCTTAGTTCAAGATACGTGGTTGCGAGCGAGGGCCTTTATCCGATTCAATCCTGAATAACATTCGTGGAATGCCTTCATAACAGTTGGCTAGAGTGCAGGCGGGATGATGATGCGGCTCAGAAGAGTAGGCATCCGTGTTGCATTGAAAGGTCGGTGCGCAAGTCGGCATAAATGGCAACAGTTGCTGATAGCTTCTTCGGCCAATTGTTGTGGACGACCTGACTCAGGACTTAGCGTAGGCTGCCGTCTGAGCGGTGTCACGTGCTATATCTTCAGCAGCGACCTGAAGACAGCTGACATTGTCGTTGAAGATGGCTCCGATGTCCCTGACGATTTTGGCTGTTATGACGTCTTCTTCCGGTGGCGTCTATGCAGAAATCAAGTAAGAAAGTGAGTCGGCTCGTCCGAAGCTGATAGTGTTCCAATACTCGAGGTCAAGAACATGGGCACGCAGTATGAATCTCCAGCATTGTAGGCGATTCGCCCAGTATGCGGAAACCCTTTCTTCAATCCAAAGACGGTCAAGGATGGCTTATGGCCCGTGAGAAAGGTGAATTGGCGTCTATAGATAAAGCGATGAAACTTGCGGACAGCGTGAATGTGCTGAAGCCATTCTTTTCTACTTGTCCGTAGTTCTTTTCTGTAGCGATGAGAGAGCGGCTAGGCTAGTATCGGGTAACGATGGGAGATGACTGCTTATATTCCATAGTTTGAAGCGTTGGCCTTGACGGTTAATGGTAAATTTGGGACGCATTGAGTTGGGAGCACGTCCGGAGCGAGTTCTTTCTTGACGCGTTTTAAAGCGCCGACGCATTCGGGGTACTAGTTGAAAGGAGTGTCTTTTTTGAGCAATGCGTCGGTGCATGGAGCTGACATCCCTGAAGCGAACGTTCCATAGTGGTTGATGAGACCGAGATATGACCGAACCTGGGCGGTATCCTTCGGTTTTGCCACCTGAGTAATGGTATCGATCTTTTTGGGATCAGGTCGGCGTCCATCAGCAGTGTTGACATTCCCGAAGTAGGTCAGCTGGATCATTACGAAATGGCACTTGTTGGTGCGGACGCGGAAGCCATATGCGGATATCCTTAAGGAGAGGGCTTCCAGGTCGGCGTTATGCTCGGGGAGGTGCTGCCGGTACGATAATGTCGTTGAGGTAGACAGTAACGTCGTTGAATCTAGAGGTCATGAAGATGATAATCTGCAGGAAGATGCCAGGGGCTGATTTGACCCCGACATGTAGGTCGGCGTCGGTGAATTCGATCTGTGAAGGGACGGTCTCGCCATAGCTTGATGAGGACGTCCTCAGCAATGGACAATGGGTGCCGGAGCAGAAATGCGTCGTTGAGCCCAGTCGAGAAGTCGGCGCAAGGTCGGATGGACCCGTTGGCCCTTCTCATAGAGCCGTCATATCCGCCGTCAACCATTCGCTATGGAGCAGCCCATAGCGAATGGTCGACGGCGGATATGACGTCCTGTGCTACGAGTCGGGAAATCTCGGAGTCGAGGAGCGTATAGGGGCGTAGAGAACCGCCCCCTTTTTGATGAAAGCAGGGTGAGCATTGGGCCTGAGCTAGAGCGTCGCCCTGGTTTTGGTACGGCGTCCGAGTTCCGGCCTGAAGACAACCGTGAATTCCGTCGTAGTCGAGCATCTGCACCTTCTTCAGGACTGGGTCGAAGTCCGAGATTTGCTCAATCCATGTAATGCCAAGAAGGCCGCTGGCGTTGGAGACGTAGCAGACGCCTTTTCCAGGATGAGCCTTTTCTTAGTTGACCATTGCCATGAAGTCAGCGTCGAATCTTCCGTGAACTGGCGATGGTAGACCATTGGCTTTCTTAAAGACATCAGAGGTTTTCTGTAGACGCGAACTTCCGAGTTGCATCCAGGTTGGAAGAGAGATTATGGTGTTGTCGGCGCCGGTGTCAAACTGCTGGCGAGTGAGATATCCTTTGGTGTGAACTGCCAGGTGTTTTTGAACAACTCCAGAGCGGCCGATGGCTCGCTGATACCATGTGCGTATAGTAACTGCATGATGCGACGTCGTGGCGCAGTCCTTGACTCCTGAGCAGCACATGTTGCGTTACGCTTTTGTTGACAATCCTTGATCCACTGTTGGTGTTGGTAGATCGGACACGGTGATGGCAGAAATCGAGGCTAGGAAGACGTTGTTTCTTCCTTTTCTTGACGGCGGGATGGCGGCTTCGACGATTTTTAATCGTTTCTCTTCGACTTCCAAGCGTGGTACTCCTTGGCTGAATCGCCGACAGTAACCATCTCGTCTTCGTCCACGTTGCGAAGGAAGCGAACGCGATAGTCATTCAGCTCCGGAGCCTGGAAGTCAAAAACCAGGGCTAGGCAATCCAGCTTATCCTATATTATGTCGTTGAAGATGGCTCCTAGAGTGCAAGCCTTGAGTAAGTTGAAGAGACTGACAATGTCTTTGTTGGACGAGAAGCTCATCCAGAGCACTTAAAATCACGGCAAAAAACCCTTTTCTTGAAGCCGAATAACGTCTCCAGCGTTTTGACAGTGTCAGTCCAGTCCAAGTCCCTTGGCTCCTTGGGAAGGATGTGGCTTGCAGAAGACTAGGGCAAAGACGTGCAAGCGTGTTTTTTTATTCTTCGCTTCTTCATCCCCCAACAGTTCTTATGCCAGTTGGACCATAAATTGAAGCAGTCGTATTGGTCCGCATCGAAGGAGAATTGTTCGATTCTCCTCGGATCCGATCGAATACTATTTATTGCAGTGCAATTGTAGACGTCGCCATCTTCTGTAGCACGTCGACAAGCAGCTTCTGTTGGTTAGACATCACGTGCAGCGGGTACTTTGTTCGAGCGTCTTCTGGTACCCCTGCAGTAGTCCTTAGAATCGTAATCCTGATTTCTATTTATTTATTTTACTATTTATTACACACTTTAGTGACCATTTGTTGTGTTCTTAGTTGGTCGGGAAGAGCAAGAAGAATTATAAGAAATCATGAATGAATGTACAACGAGGTTACAGTTCATATACTGCTTCGACCCGTCAGATCTCCTAGCCAAACCGACCAGATCAGTACAACACAAGATCAATTACCCTTTTTTTTGCAAAAAAATCTAGGGAGTACCTTTTTTGGGCGATGAAAAAATCTGGCGAGTATTTTTTGGGCGATGAATCTGGACAATGCAACAGTCCACTGGAAATGGACTCCAATAAGTAGTGAACTTTGAAACTAAACTTTTCAAGTTTCATTCCTTCAATTATTTGAATATTAAAAAAGTTTAATTATGTTACGTTTAGGAACCAAAGTAGCCTGGTCATGGTTGAACTGCAATGGTGCTACTAACTCGTGGTCAACTGACGGTTTGCGACGGATCAATCCGTTTGCGACAGATTAATCCGTCGCAATCCGTCGCTTCGCCACGACTCTCGTTAAAGTTCTCCTACCAACATTGGTATTGGGCTCCTAGATCGCTTTCTAACTGACCATGAAGCCAATTGTACCTTCATTATCTACCTCTATCAGCCCATAGCTTTGGTATGGCTAGGTCCTTTCAAAAGCATACCTGTGTCACATGAGAGTATTTAGGAAACTTCCATTATTTACTCTACAATCTGCAATTAATAGCAATTTTAGCTAATACACGACGTTTTATCCCTCTCAGATGTTCAAATTGTTTGAGTCTCATTTAAATCGGATTTATTGTGGCCTTGAAGAGTGCGCGCAGGTCACGATTGAGTGACTTAGCAGTTCTTGTTGTTGCCTTACAAAAAAGAACCACTTGCCTAGGATGGCCAACCTTTTGTTCGCTGCGAACGGTCATTTCTTACATGGAAATTGCTCGATCGAAAACAGGTTCAAGTTGAAAATGGGACATTACAGTGACTACCGTTATGCTATATCAAATCAGGTTGTGTAAGCATTAATTCCAATAGTTCATCTGTTTTTGATAGAGCCAGTTACTTGACCCCTGACCATCGATCTCTCTTGGGCTCACTGGGCACGCATGTCCAGATCTCTCTAACAAGGAAGGTCTTTCAGGGCGTGGGACGCTTTTTGAAAACGGTGTTTTGCATGATGTGAGGGCATGAGCACCGAGTACAGAACTATAGTCCATGGCCTTCTGAAGGTCAAAAAAGGTGCGAAAATGTTTTTGCCAAAAATTGCCATTTTAACCCACTGAACGTCGTTTGTTTCATTCATGGCGTCGACTGTCCGCACAGTAGAAGGCGTCAATGGACTGCGCATTGAAAATAATGTGAACGGTGGCCAAAAAAGGGGGCCCCATGTTGAAACATGTTGAAGAGTGCGGGGAGGTTTCATATGCGCTCTCCACCGTCAAGCTGCTAGCAGCGACGAACGGTGTGGGGGATAGCGATGTGGACTTCGATTTGGGATGGCTAGTTCGGGCTGATGGTTCGAATCCCCGGGGCTTTGCCGTATTTACATTTTTGCTGCTACCTCCAGATTGGCTCCATATTGCACCAGGGCCAAAGCAAGTGCCTAACTGGTCATGGTCGTGACCGGGACCTGAATTCTACTGATATTGACTGGGATGGATTGTACCGCCGATCACTAGTGGAATTGCTACTTCGCGAAGGCGTGGTAGTACGTGGGTATCTTCTGTCACCAATCCATCCGCCAAGTTCCTCGTCCGCTGGCCTGCTTTTGCTTTCATAACAAAGTTCTTCTTAAAGTTGACCTCAATCATCATTCTCATTTCCATAAAGGTATAGGGAGACGTTAGAGTTTGCCTTTTCTACTAGATCGATCGCGTGTAAAGATAGATATAAGTAAGAAAATAAATTTTATTTGATGAGACCATGTAACTCAAGTGCTGAGCAATCAATCTGTAGTCGAATCTAGTGCCGATTTTCCATCCCCCAGATTCCTTGCTCTTATCGAGATCACTAGTACATACATACCTGTGGATGACATACACTCCAATAGAAGACAAGTAACGCTAGATTTTGAAACGGGCCGATATTGTGGGTAGAAAGTCAATCAATTGTACATACCACTCTTTCCTCCCCTGCTGCCCATGCTAATGATCAGCAGACATCGCTATCAAAGCAGTAATCAGCAATGCAGCTGACACTCCCTCTTATTTGATAAGATCGCTATATTATCCAATACTCAATACTGGGTTCGGAAACGGTATTACTTGAATCTATTTTTATCGCCATTTCAATCTGTAACGAAACTTCCAGCCTCAAGAAGTTTTCTTGATTGTTCCGTACCTTGATGCTTCCTTTCTAGACATTTCAGTTACTGGCAAATGGCTGTGAAAAAAATCACCACAAAAGTCCTATTGCCGAGCTTTACGAAAAAGATGAGTATCTCAACAAATTCTCAACCGTAAGGCATTCATGTTCGAGGGAGAACAGAGGCATGCTGTCTACCACATTCTCACTGACGGCAAAAATGGAATACCACCAGCTGAGCAGCTTTGCTCACGCAGAAACAAAAATCACTGCTTAGCTAATATTATGCACGACCAATCGACGCAGCATTTCTCAGCGTCTTTTTAACCAACTGGGCCTTGTGGGCATCTTCTGATAGATTCATTAGGAACAGGAAGTTGGTCTAGAGCGTGTGGGTTAGCCCTTAGTTAGACTGTCTGGCATTGAAACCACTCAAAATTTGTACCAAGAAGGGGCGAGCGAAGGGATGACCAATCCCTACATGAATTTCAACTACACTGATTACATCCTTTAAACTGTTCAATCTGTTGCCAAGGTATGAACAAGTCGGTTTATCACTGTTTGTACGAGAAGAACTTTGTTATGAAAGCAAAAGCAGACCAGCGGAAGAGGAACTTGGCTGAAGGGTTGGTGACGGAATATACCCACGTACTACCACGCCTCGCGAAGTAGCAATCCCACTAGTGATTGGCGGTACAATCCGTCCCAGTCAATATCAGTAGAATTCAGGTCCCGGTCACGACCATGACCAGTTAGGCACTTGCTTTGGCCCTGGTGCAATATGGAGCCAGTCTGGAGGTGGCAGCATAAAATGCAAAAACGGCAAAGCCTCGGCGATTCGAACCGTCAGCCCAGACTAGTCATACCAAATCGAAGTCCACATCGCTATCCCCCACACCATTCGTCGCTGCTAGCAGCTTGACGGTGGAGAGCGCATATGAAACCTCCCCGCACTCTTCAACTTGTTTCAACATGTGGCCCCCTTTTTTGGCCACCGTTCACATTATTTTCGATGCGTAGTCCATTGGCGCCTTCTACTGTGCGGAGAGTCGACGCCATGAATGAAACAAATGACGTTCGGTGGGTTAAAATGGCAATTTCTGACAAAAACATTTTCACTCCTTTTTTGGCCTATAAAAGGCCATTTAGCGGAAATGGACCATAGTTCTGTACTCAGTGCTCATGCCCCTACATCATGCAAAAAACTGTTTTCAAAAAGCTTCCCACGCCCTGAAAGACCTTCCTTGTAAGGGCACATGAGTCCATTCTTCGAAGACGTATTGAATTATTGGAATCTTATTCATTACCAGTGTGCGGTATTCTAGGTATTATATCTCTATTTTATACAATATCAATACATGCAAATGTTAAATTTCAAAGGAAGTGACAATCAAATAAAGACTGAATTGCCTATAGCACACAACAAGTGCGTTCATACTGCGATGGAATATCCGTGTATCATTTAGCACTGTGACGGTGACGTGCAGTCAAGTCGTAAAATAAAACGTCGGAGAAAGTATTACCTCAAGTTGTTAAAGACTCATCCTCGATCTTCTCCAAAATGAAGCTACGAGAATCATACTATGACAAGTTTCTCCATCAACAGGGCTATCCATTGGCTTTCCCTTGCGTAGATGGCGGATATGCTAGAAGAACGGCATGGCCAGCAAAAAGAGTACATCGCATACAGTGAAATACAGTTGAATCAGGGCAAATTACTAGGTTGATTGTTGGGAACCGACGATAAATAACATGACCAAATGCACGACGATGATGGTTGCACTTCAATGATACGATTGTAATATGTAGAATAACAGAAATTCATTGATAAAGCAAATTGAGCGTGCACTCAAATGAAGAATAGGTTCATCATCCAATTAATAATGTAACTACAACAGTAAGTGAATTACTGCCTCCGTTTAAAGTAGAAATAACCTTTTTTTCCTAATGAGTGTCATATTTGCCTGATCTCATTGTCTGCTATCGATGACTGACAGCTGAAAGGATTTGATCTCGGAGTCATTCAAGAGGTTGAGACTAGCAATCCAAGTATGGCTTATGATAGAAAACCTCACTTTCGACTTCTCAGAAGGTAGACTCAATGTTTTACTTGATAGCGATGCAGGGAAACCTATCTATTTTTGTGAAACGTTGTGGAACTCCGCGCGGCTGTTCATCTAATTGTCGGCATTAGGGCATCTCGCAAGGAAATCAATGCCTTGTCGCGTATTTTGTGTCATGCAGCTTCCTAATTGAACGCCTTGTGGACCCTATTCAGACTCATATTTTCAAATGTCAGATTGGGACTTATTGAACAGTTTCTTGTTTAACCAATCTATCGGGGAGGTGACTTTTAGTGTTGGGAACAGCATGATGCGAAGTAGGGCAGCGTAGACGTTAGGAGAACTATTATAGTATCACGTGGATCTGACGGGAACTAGTGATTTCGAAGATTCCACAGGTGCTGGGGTACTATGCGAAATACAACTTTTCATGTAAGTCAAATAAGTTTTCAGGCAAGATTGAGACCGTGTACGGAAACTACTAGTGGCAAACTAAGTGACTAGGGATGTCCATTAGGGACCGTAAATGGTTTATCGCCTAGCGATGTAGGAAATATTTATACACGTATTTCAAGTTTTCTCCTGAAGAATGTCTGAAGGTGTTTTCATTCGTATGACTGCTTTCTCTTTAATTCTGTGAGTTCTGGTCCCATCTCATGGGTAGTGAAGAGATCAGTTGCGAATACCTTTCTTTTTTGTTGTTTCTGATTGTTGTATGTATGTATTGTTTCCATACAGAATTCTGATTGCACAAACGTTGTGCTTTGCATATTTGTTGACTATCACGAGCTCTGTTATAGCCATTCTTGTCGTAAAAAGTGTATTTCCTATTGTGGTGCCATGGGTCTCTTCTTCACTCGCAGAGACACGTCTTCAATTTCTGCGATAATAGGATGGGTGTGTGGTAATGTTAAGCTAATTATAAGAGCTACCCACTGCCCCATCTACTTCAGTTACTATTTCCTCATTTTCGCTCTTCACTAACACCGTCACATGGGCTCAACCACTCCTAGTTCGTTGTTCTACATTATTCGAGTATTAGCAACGATGGCAACAAATCAATTTTTGCCTCGCTGTTTGTCATCAACCGTGAAGATCTACCCATTGCTCTTGTCCAGTTCACAATGATAGAGCAGTGATGACAGCACGTACAAGGGATTTTCAGATTTCAGTTCTTTCAAGGCGAGGCAAGGCAGATTGCGCATGGGCTCAACAGCTGCATCTGCTACGTTTCATGCGTACGGTCAACTTATAAGGACACCGTCTATTCATCCACTCATTCGAACTCCAAGCTTGCATCCGCATGCATCAGGGAAGAAGAGCGACAGAGAGGATGGTAGTGAGTTTCCTGGTTTATTTCAGGCTAATTTCATTGCTGATCTTACTAACTTATGATTCATTTCCAAATGGTTTACGGCTCACTCCTTCGTCTGATTCACTTTCCCTATGTATTGAATGGCACTTAAATGACGTTTTCACCAATAGTATTTTTCCTTGCAGCTTTCATGTACCTTCTTATGCGTTTATAAACCAAATAAGCATAATGTGGGAGTTAATTACCGATTTCATCATCTCAAAAGTATTCCTTGGTAAGGTTACACGTTGTACCGCTACCGTTTGTCGCAAGTCCCTTCTACAGTCGCAGGCAATAAAGCCGCACGAAAAGTATAATACACTGCTTGGCTGAAGAACTGAGTGATGGGGAAATGTTCGGAAACCTACTATCATATTGTCGTTTTCTGGTGTCTATCGGCAGACTATTGCTTTGGTGAATTTACAGATTGGATGTGAGTCTAGTTGTTCTTTCCGATCAAGGCTCTGTGCAAAGACAGAAGTCATAAACATTCTGTTAAAAAGCACGTATTCTGCGATTAAACTACCCATGATGACCCTGTATTGGACCAAACGGACAGGCACGTAAAAAGTGACGCCTGTCAGCAAGGGCGCTCATCTACGAAGTAACGTAGTCTCTGTTACGGAAAAAAAACTATTCTAAGACAGTAAAGGTAAGCTCTTTGCATCCAATGCCCTGCCAGGTGAGGTGTTCTGATGTTATGGAGAAAGCCAACCATGAATAATTGTCTGAAGACGCAAGCGCAATGCGCAATGAAACCTGTACTCCCTTACTTTATATAATAGCGTTTGAAGGGAAATTAAGGATGGGTCCCCTAGCATCTGAACTAGAACTGACGAACATGACGGTTCCCCATTGTAATATTGGATTCCAAACATAATGCTTAGAACCTGAAAGTGGTCTATCGATTATTTCACATTTTCTTTGCTAGAAATTAAAGAGCATTCAGCTGGAGCTGCCTTCTCGGTTTTTTCGAAGGTCACATCTTCGCACCCAACTTTTTCGAGAAGTTCAACAGGGGTTAGTCGCGAACATAACTAATCCTCCTTGGAGCGCCATTCTTCATCAACTCGCCTATTAATTATGATAGTAACAGAAATAGTAACTTGATTTGCCAAAACATCTACGCACTCTTTCAACGCTAGGTCTGCAACTCCATGCTGCTTTTCGACGCATGAAAACATTTATTTGAAGCATGTATTCACTACTCGGGTAAGCTATGCTAAGTATCTCTGACTCAAATAGGATGATATTATTAATAACATACATAAGCATGAATATATGTACAAAAACTAGGACATGGGAGTACAAGTTAGAAACTCAAGGAATTTAGAAATATGCGTGAAATTCAAGTAAGGGAACTAAGTCATTGGGTTTTCGAGAAGTAGAGTATTGATTCTTGTTTCCAGATTGTGCGCGATTTTGATCGCGGGCAATAATGACAGGCATACAATCAAACTGCAAGAGGTTAACCAACTTGATGTGTTAGCCGTTGTGAATTGCGGCATCAGCCCATTCTTTTATTATAAGACCAATCCGATCGTCCGGCTGACGCCTGGCTCTCCTCCTTCTTGTAGTATTGGAATTGAGTTGCCGCCTGCACTCTCCCAAGTTTGAAATCTTTGGTCTAGTAAAACAGGAGCTACTAAATTCCAGCAAAACACACACAGACACACTTCGTGCGTCGGGTTCATTTACTCTTACTCCAGATCTTGGATTTAATTTAAGACGCCCAGGCATGTTTTTATCGCAGAATATGCCAGTCATTGAGCGTCACTTCAACCACGCTGCATTCACGCGAGAATTCGTTTCGAAAACCAGGCTACCGTCAGGCGCAATTGCCGATCCAAGATACTTGGAATTGTTGTCCATGTCAGCTCACTACCATTACTCTTGATAGAGCCTTGCTCGCTCTTATCGGTGGTCAAGTACTCAGTCTTTTTGACGTCTAACCTAAGTCCGAACATCACCAAACGGTCGGACCAGACTTGCACCTGTCGCCCAAGCTCGCTTTTGCCTTCGCTGGCAAGCATCGGTATAAATAAGGGTTCATGGAGCTGGCTTCTAGAGTCTTTTGTGAAGGCATCCATGACGACAACAAAAAGTAGTTGGGATAACGCAGACTCGGTGTACTCCAACGGAGATGGGATAATCCATCGATGTGCCCGCTGCCGTTTGTACTCGGCTTTTTGGGCTAGTAAAGGAGGCGCACCCACTTAATGAGTTCTTCGGGAACGCTATACTATCGTAAGGCATACCATATAACGTCACGCGGAGAGCGATCGAAAGCCTTTTCCAAGACTAGAAAGGCAAGATGTTCCGGACTTTGCTTTCGCGATGCTTTTCTAGTAGAAGGCGAGTGGCGTGTATGGCATCAATGGTGCTGCAACCGGACACAAAACCACACTGATTGGTGGTCAGCTCGACGATGTCTCGGATACGACTGTCTGCAATTCACTCGAAGATTTTCATGCTGTGCGAGAGCAGGCGAATTGGACGGCAGCAAGCGCAGTCCCCAGGACTGCCCTTCTTTCCAGATGGGAACTGCTCTGTTGCCAGCTCTCAGGCACCTTCTTCTCTGCAACCACCTGTTTGAAGAAGGCCGTCGACCACTCTGCAGGATTCCAGCACTCCGATTCCCACATGTCTGCTGCTAAGTCGTCAGGACCAGTTGCTTTGACTGATTTCATCCTCTTCATAGCCGTGACTGTCTTCGTCACGGTAACCTTCTGAACAGGGCCGTATACTGGCGGAGCGCAAGTGATGGCGGGATGAGCAGATTTGACCGCTGCGATGTTCTCGAGGTACTCTCGCCAGGGTGTGCTTGCGGTCCGTCAGGATGGTTCTCGTCATTTATGACGAGGAACTTTTCTATATTCTCGTTCCGACGATGGCGGGTTTTGGCGAGTCGGTAAACCGCTGCCTTCACAGAAGCAACGATCTTCCTTGCCTCCTTCTCTGCGATCTCATAGCGCTGTCAGTTATCAGCTGTTTTTTTCCGAAAGGAATGCGTAATATTGTTTTTTCTTATCACGTACATTATCCCTGACATGACACGTCCACAGCCATGTTTAATTGTCAAACTTTTGCGGTCCAGGCTTGGTCATGCCGAGCTCCGACCGCGCACCGCGGGTTATCGCTTCGCCAGCACCCTTCCAAGTTTCATCGGCAGTCGTTACCGCCGGTAATAGAATGCGGGAGACGGCGGCATTCTCGCTGACCTTCACCTTTCGGCAAATTTCGGTTTCGGCGGGGCGATGATGAGCGTACAAATCAGTGGTCGATGTTGTGTGTACCGTTCTATAAGGTACTGTTTTTGCGTCTGTTACGAGTCCCTGATCGCGGTGCCTGACAAGGACGAAATCAATTCGTGTACTGTTTTCACCGCTATGGAAGGTGATGAGATGAGAGTCACGTTTACGGAATTCGTGTTTAGAATGGCGAGATTATACGAGTCCGCAAATTCAAGATTTCGCTCGCCATCACTATTACGTGACCCATATCCAAAACCACCATGACAGCTATAACCGTCCTTAGTAGCGCCTGCATGGCCATTGAGGTCACCCGCGACAACTACTGCTTCTTGTAACGGTACATCAGCTGTATTTTCGTGTAGCAGATTCCAGAAATTGTCCTTGCTTTGTTCGGAGTATCCAGTTTGTGAAACTTACGCTGAGAAAGAATGAAATTTTTGGCGTTCTACGAGTACAATGATCTTCATTAAGCTGCCATCGAAGCGCTCCATGCCCACTATCGAATCACGGAACTTTTCAGATACAATTATGCCAACGTCATTGGTGGTTCTTGGGACCACCACAGAAAACGGCTTTGAAGCCGTGGCCAATGTCCCTCGACTTGCAACAGGACCACCTCGTTTCCTGCACGGCACAGGAATCGATTCACCAACGTTCTAGAGTTTCTGCTAACTCGTACGAACACCCCGTTATCGTGCCAACATTTAACGTCGCAACGCGACTCTCCCTCAGGTTGCGGTGAGTTTTGAACTAGTCAGTGGCCCCCCCCGCCTCCCCAATGCCGTTCTTGCACCGGAGACCCTCGCATACTTTTCACATTCACCGGACCTGGCAAGTACGCATCGGCTCCCGCGAACGCTGTAGCATTACATCGAGACGCTGTAGCATTACATCGACTTACATTCTCTGGGTGGCATTAACATTTTTTATGTGGCGGGGGTGTTCGTAGACCGGCCTGCCACGGGGGCCTGTCGCCTGCATTCGAATGTCCGCGATCAGCTCAATCCACAGAGTAAGTTCCCAGTGGTTCCGATTGGAGGAACGGACGTCACCACCATAGTACGCTCATTTCATCACCCCCATACATCACCCCTATGCCTCTGCCGGCTGGATCCAGTTCAGTTACCTTCTACTACTTACCATCGGTGTCCTAAATCTGCCGCCTGCACTGGTTACAAATTTGAATGTCCAGGTCGAATCTAGCAACTTTCGCGCATGTCCCGCCCTCTGTAGGCGGAGTCAAGACATGCTACCTCCCATTAGAGTTCCCATGCTATCGCATCCACTCCTAGCGAACTGGGATACCTCAGGTGCAACCTGCCGATTTTCATGCACGCTCCGCCCGGAGTCGAGTCCTGTCTCCTACCATTGATGATCGCTTCTTGTCAATCCTGTCATTTACACTCCTACCCGATTCAAATACTTTAGATGCACGGGAACAGTGGTTATGATTTTTCACTGGAATCCCGCCTACTGTGGGCGGAGTTCGGCTCTGTCAGGCAGCATGAATTTCCATTCTGCCGCTTGCACTCCTATCAGATTTGAACGTTTCAGGTGCACGGGGATAGGAGTTATGATTTTTCGCTCAAACATTTGTCTAGCGCAAACCAGGCTCCCTGTAGGCGGAGATTAGTGCTGCCATCCACCATGAGTGTTCCCATCCTGACGTCTGTAGATCCTACCGAATTTGTGGGGAATTAGAGAATCAACCCAGAGTGCATACGGACTTGTGGTAAACCCGTTAGAATATTTAGAGCAAGACATAGTTAACCTTAGCATTGCTGGGTAGCGTCTTTTACTGCAATCAGGTCGCAATGAAATGCTCCCTCCAAGCAGTGCAGTACATTGCAGTACATGAACTGCTTCAGGTGCACGACAATGAATTCGACTGCACTCCTTCAATTCCCATGACAGCCGATCAACCTTGGTAATTAGTGAATTTCCGCAAGTTGCTTTAACTCTGGTTCGATTCGAATGCACACTACTATCTGGCTACTCACTTGGATTTAGAAAGATTCTCGAGGAAAATTAAGGAAAATCAATACAACTTTTGTATGGATTCATAGCAGATAGATTTTTATAATCTCAATCTCTTGCTGAGCTCTGCTCAAAGTCAATTACGAAGACAACTCAAAATGATTACGATCTCGTAACCTTTCCAAATGTGCTGATACTTACTTTCGAGCCGGAATTAATATTCCTCATGTAGAGGGGAGTTTGTGATGTTGCCATGCCCGCATGCCCGCAGCGATACCTCACCTACTTGGAGACAATCTCCAATTTTCACGGAAATGAAGCCCGCCGATCCATAACACTGTCATCTCAAGAACGCATGAATTCCTCATGAGCAGAGCTGTTCATTGGTCTTGCAAAGTTTTATCAATAGTTCCTTGATAATCGATGGAATTGGGTTTCTAACAATAATAGTTGTTTGATGCAAGGAAACGATGTAGCGTACGAAGCTCGAAGCATTACAGAAAATAACCGTGCACCCGCCGTTTCGAAAATCGAGTGCAGAGGTAATGGTACTACTGCACCGAGTCATCCTTTCAGTGCTATGGAAATAAGTTCACCAAAAACATTGTGCACAAACGTTCCGCCCGTCATGTTCTACATATTTGTTGGTCAAGGGGTGTTACGACACACAGTACGGGTGTGATACGGGGACTTATGCAAGGATTAATCCATAGTGCCACGCAATACGGGCAATTATAAACTCAGCAGCAGTGAAGCTCGTCAATATTGCTACAACTGGCAGGACAGAAGATTTCACCTAGTTGCTGCGCAAGCTCTATAGATTGGGCGAAGTGAGGTCAGCGAAGTGAAACCTCGGTGATAAGACACCAGTTTTTTGTTAAATGGCTTTGCAGCTAGCATCACGTGCGCTGTTCAACTCAATTAGTCATCTTGCTTTTCCACGGAATGGGGAAATCAATTGTGGAATTGTGGAATGCACGGTGAGAGCCGGACCCCTGTTTGACGGCAACCAGCAGGAGGCCTTCATGTGCTCTGATCTTTTTCAGGCCGGATTCTGAAGTATTCCTCATCAGCGGCTCAGTCTTACATTGGATAATGTGAACAGGTGGGCATGGCTATCAACTGAGGAGTAAGGAGTGACTTTCTCATCCTCTATGGGATACAGTGACAGCTCTACTCAGCTCGAGCTCAATTTACATATACATATATATATTAGCTAACACCATTTGCTACAACACGCAACCACATTTCAAAGTGCCCCAAATTAGCGCGGATAAAGGCCCAAAGTTTCCACCTGATCGCATGTGGCCCGCAGGTATCCCTCCCCATTTCTTCCCAGTAGTTCTTCAGTCTTGCTTTCTAGAACTCCAGACTGGGATTGCAAACTCGAAAGGCCCGCTTCTGATCAGGGAGCATACGGAGGAGTCAAGTGAGTCCAGTTGTGGAAAATAAGATGGCCATTACTTCTCAACTTTTTACCGATGAAGTCGGGCAGCTGTCGTCGGCACCACTCGCGGGCAAGCTTGGCTCTGTGGGCTGGAGTAGCGTTCTGCTAGAAGGACTACGATACGAAGAAACCACGAGCGTCTCACTCTTGCCAGTGACGTCTTCTAATAACATCAGTTTGCTGTTCCTATAGCAATCTTTTGTGAGAGATTACACGCTAAATGTTTCTTCCCGGAACGCGAACGTTTTGGTCGTTTAGGGATGATTTTATCGAGAAAATTTTTTTGGCAGAGAAAACGATGAAGAGCTGCATGACACCACTCAAGGTTTGCGGCTTTCTGCATTTTTCTGCCCTGCAGATACTGCTGAGATCGGTATTGAAGCGAAGTATTTGCACACGATAGGAATGGCAGTGAAGCTCCCGCATGGCATTCTTCCATCGCAATAACTCCGATAAGCCCGTTGACTCCCTTCTGGTGGGTCACCCAGGGTCCCCACCGACTGGCAGACGGACCATTTAAATAGTCCTATCTTTAGAAACATTGAACTTTCTACCTATCCTGAATTGCCTCTAAGCCAATCTTTTTTCTATATCGTTTAATAGCCTCCTATACTGTTATTAATGAAATCCCATAGATTTTATTATGCCCTTCCACATCTCGCGTGTCAATGATTACAAGTGGAAGCCTCTTCTATGTAGAAGATATTGAGAAATCCACATCAGTAACGATGCATATTGCGAGGAAACCTTCTTATGCAACTAATTAATAGTAGCAGGTAATGTGAATTTGATAGATTATTTCTTCCTAAAAATTTCTGAATTTGGGCGCTCATAATTTCGGGACGTATATATATTACATATATGTATACCAGTCGAGCCAACGGGCTTCCCTCCCTCTTATGAGAGAGTTGTGATAATAAACGAATCGGCCCTTCTTATTCGGAACGAATGGTACTTTTTAGGACGCGAAGCTATTTTCTCTGTTACCATGGTTTCTTTGTTTGCTCATGCTTATAAGGGAATAAATTTTTGCTTACCGCAGTTACTTATTTGGCAAAGGACTGGCATGCACATGGTGTTCAAAATGTGCCGATGCTTATGCCTTTATTAGATGTCCCGATATGTTGCTGTTCATCCTAAAGGCACGGTTCACGATAAAAATGACTGCTGAGTTT